CAGTAAAGATCTGGAAGTAACGCAATCATTGTAACGCAATCATCCGGGGGGGCGCTTCCCGTTTCTCAGAAGAGCACAGCAAAGGTGGCAACAGCAAGGAGGGGGGGGGGGGGGGGGACCCCCTTCTGCCACCCGTAAAAAGCTTAGCTACTCTGATTACTTATTGTGAAAGTAAATCACTGGGGCTAATCATGATACTGGGATCTTGGTTGTGGCCTCAACCAGGATTGCAGCTTCCTTACAAGGACGTATATGTGCATATGGCGGTAGGGAAGCAGTTAAAATGGAATGTTAGCCAGATTTTAAGTTCTGCTAGAGGACTTCAGGCTGACCCCTTTTGCAGGTATAGTCAGGTAACACATTAAAAAAAAGAGTATAATACTGGATTTTAGACAGTCTCACCCTGCTCTGCACATGCTCCATTTCTCTCTATTTTTCAGCACTGTGCTGAATCCAATCTGCAGACAACCTAAAGATTTACTGCTGCTCAGGGGCTCTTGGCTTCAGCAAAATGGCATCCTCCAGCAAGAAGAAACAGGAACTATGCTGGAAGCGATTTTCAGCACACACTTTTGGTAGCAGATGTGAAATGTATAGTCCTTGCTTAAAACAAAAAAAGTTGTGGGTAAACTTCCTCTAAGCCAGTGGTTCTCAACCTTCCTAATGCCGCGACCCTTTAATACAGTTCCTCATGTTGTGGTGACCCCCAACCTTAAAATTAGTTTTGTTGCTACTTCATAACTGTAATTTTGCAGTGGGAGGAATAGTGCCCCATCGCTGGTGTCAGTGGGGAGGAATAGTGCCCCATCGCTGGTGTCAGTGGGAGGAATAGTGCCCCATCGCTGGTGTCAGTGGGAGGAATAGTGCCCCATCGCTGGTGTCAGTGGGAGGAATAGTGCCCCATCGCTGGTGTCAGTGGGAGGAATAGTGCCCCATCGCTGGTGTCAGTGGGAGGAATAGTGCCCCATCGCTGGTGTCAGTGGGAGGAATAGTGCCCCATCGCTGGTGTCAGTGGGAGGAATAGTGTCCCATCATTGGTGTCAGTGGGAGGAATAGTGTCCCATCATTGGTGTCAGTGGGAGGAATAGTGTCCCATCGTTGGTATCATATTCCGAATATTTTCAATGGTCTTAGGTGAAAGGGGTCGCGACCCACATGTTGAGAAACCGCTGCTCTAAGCCATAGACAGCCAGGTGGCTACCATGTTCTAAATGTCAGTAATAACAGCCTCCTATTAGCACAGGTATCTTAAAAAATGGATTCTAAATTACTACTTGGAGTTTTGCGTCTATGTGAATACCTGCGTAGTAGCAGTGCACCAGGCTCTCTGTAGTATAGACTTAAATCTGACTTTTTGAACAGAGTCTCTGGGTAATCCAAATCTACATTGTACAAATTGATCAGAGCCTGTAGGTCTGGCACTTAGAATGGAAATAGGCAGGTGAAAAGTTTCCCTCTTTAACACCATAGTGCCCATATCATTTTGTGCGAAAAATGTAAGTATTTCAAAGCTTAGTAGCCGAATTTACAAGATGTCTGCACATAGCAAAGCAAAGCTGTGCCAGCAGAATGGAAGGGTCACAGAAAGCATGCAGAAAAGCAGGGCCAGAGGTTAATGAGTATCCAAAGTTGGAACAGAGAACACTGTGTACAGTATAAACAGGTCAATGCCGACAAGGTGCTGGATGTGGATAAGGGAAGAGGACGCAAAACAAAAAGCAAAGCAATGGAAAGGATTCATGGAATATGTGCAAATGACTTTTCTATCAAAATCAGTATAAAAAAACCATACAGATCGTTGTTCATAATGCTACACACAAGATAATATTTCAACTACAGCACAGCAAGTGTATTCTGTACAGGTATCAGATGAATGGAAGCCAGTTATGCTCGAGTGAGATCAGGTCATTGTCTAATCATTCCCAACCCACTAGGCCAGGGGTAGGCAACCTGCGGCTCTCCAGCTGTTGCAGGACTACAAGTTCCATCATGCCTCTGCAAGTCATAGCTGTAACTGTCAGTTTTGCAATGTCTCATGGGAAATGTAGTTCAAACAGCTAGAGGGCCGCAGGTTGCCTATCTCTGCCCTAGGGGCGGACTGACAACTCATGGGGCCTAACAGGGCAATAGGGGATCATGGGGCCCCTGTGTCCTTGCCCAAACTCTGAAAAGCCTATGAAAAAAGTTACCAGGGGCATCTCATGGGGCCCCCTACTGACCCTGGGCCTTCTGGCAGTGCCCCCTCAGAATTTCCAAAATAGTCAGTCCGCCCCAGAGTGAGACCCCCCCCCCCCACCCAAACCCAGGGAATCAAGTCGGCACTGAGCAGACTCTCCCGACACTGGGGGCCCACTGCTGTCAATCACAGCCAGTGAGGAGGGAGCGCGGGGCATGGCTGAGCTGTGCTCTGTGTGTATTTGGTCACACACTGCATGGAAGAAGTTATAACGCACAAGTGGCTTGCTTATGGGGGGCACCTGGGGGGAGCCAGGAGCACCCGTGAAGAGTAGGTGCAAAACCACTGCACAGAGCGGGTGAGTATACCATGTTTGTTTTTGGTTTTTCTTAGGCTTTAATGCATAGGCCCATACAGGGGCGGACGGACAACTCATGGGGCCCCAGGCAATAGGGGATCATGAGGCCCCTGTGTCCTTGCCCAAACTCAAAAAAGCCCTATGAAAAAAAAAGGTACCAGGGGCATGTCATGGGGCCCCTACTGACCCCCATGGGCAGTGCCCAAGTTTCCAAATGGTCAGGTCTGCGCCCCTGGGGCCCCATAAACATAAGAGTCTTCTCACACTGCTCCGTTGAAGGGGGAAAAAAGTAAAAATGGCATATGTGCTTTTGAGTTGCCATGCACCTGTGAAATTATGAAGATGCAACACTAAAAGTACACCAAAGATGTAACCATGGTAAATTTTGATGCATTTTCCGCTGATTTTCAATGGAAGGTGCATTTTTTCTCCCTTTCTACAGAAATATGCAGCATGCTGAACTTTTAGAAACGCACCACACCAGTGTGGAGTTCTATAGAATTTAAAGTGTAACTAAATCCACAACAGTAAAGTCTGTATATGCAGTAAAGTTCTTGTTATGCTCTGGAAGCAAAGGGGTTAAAACCTCTGCATTGTGTAAAAAAATGGGGCCCAGGCAATAGGGATCCTGGGGGCCCCCTGTGTCCTGTCCCCAATCACAGCTAATAAAGCCTAGGAGTCACTCTGCACATGCTCAGTTTAGTGTGTATGGCTAGAGCAGGGTTTTTTTTCTTTATGGGGGGGATGCATGTAATAAGGGCCAATAAGCACTGTTGAGGTGTAGAGGGATCAGAGGTTATGCAGCCTCAGGGACAGAGAGCAGAAAACGTTCCAAAACTCCTACAAGCTTCAACCAGTGCTCAGCTTGACACTGATAGAAGTCTTCTCAGACTGCTATATATTGCGAATGAGAAAAAAAAAAAAAGTAGCTTTTTATTTACCAAAATAATTGCATTTCCATGTAGTGTGTACTGTGGGAGACCAGATAGAGTGAATGCAGAGTCATGAGTTTAGTAACACTTAAAAAAAAAAAAAAAAAAAAAAAGGGAAATTTGTATTGCGTTCTTGGGCTAAAAGCAGAGAGAAAAAAAAAAAACCTGCACTAGTGTGAAAGAGCCCTAAAATTAAACAGTATAAAGACTGGTTTATAAACTCGACAGCAGTAAATTAGTGGCTCAATTGAAGCAAACACCGTCCACATCAAAGAGGAAGCCTGGACCTTGAGGGGGAGAAAAAAAAAAACTACACAACACCTTTTATAGGTTGTATAGAATAACCACTGACAGAGGAAATATTTAAAAAATGACCAAATCTACAAATTGACTAGTCCGTAAAGGGTCTTCCCTTTACTTTGGGGGGGGGGGGGGGGGGGGACGGGGGGGTCATACACCCCCAAATCCAGAAGTACTGGGCATTTGAGGGCTTCGCTAGATGGAGTGGGAGGGGAGCACTGCCAAGGTATCAGTGGTTGAAGTGCCCCAACTACTCTGCTATTCATCCCTTTTTGTTCTATTATCTAGTGAGACAGTAATGCAGGCCATAGACGGGGGTCGTTTATCGTCCAAATTTTCATCCGCACGAAAAATCGGCCGATATTCACACCGTTGGTGGGGCCAGCCTGTCGGCCATTTTTCGCAGATCTTCGTTTATTTTTATTGGTCATGCTGGAAAAATCAAACGAAAAACAGCCATTTTTTCGTGGATATTGGTGGCAGCATCGCAATGGGGCTGACTGATTTTTCGTTTATCGGCCGACAAATTCGGCCAACAAACGGCCCGTCCATGGCCAGCCTAACACTCCTGCTTACTGAAGACAGGAGGCCGCGTTTGGCATTGGCTCCATTCAGAGAGTAGATTGTTTTTGTTCAGAAAATGCAAAAGAGTTTCCTGACTGGACAAGGTGGCGAGGTAACATCATGAATCCACCTTAACGAATTAGGGAATTCATTCAGAAAATATAAAGCATTCACTGAAAGGTGCCTGTGCCAACACTCCTGTATTTACAAAGCATCAGAGCACCAACTCGGCACAGGACCTGGAAGCTAGTGGAGATCACTGGAGTAGGGGGGGGGGGGTCTACTTCAGCAATTTGCAGCTCCCTGGGGCATCAGCAAGGTATGGTGTAGGCATAATTACTTGGTCTAAGCTGGACCAAACTATGTTTAATATAGCCACGGCTGGAATTCCACTTGCAGTCCAGAAACACAGAGAGAACTAATAGAACTTTGCAGGCGGACATGTCACCCATAGGATGATCTTTTCTGCTACATTCATACTTTGATTACATTTACAACATGTACTGGAGGGGGAAAAAAAAAAAAAAAGGGTTGTTGTGAAGCATAAATGCATATAGTACAAATGGTACCTATGCATGCAACAGCAAATAAAGTGAAATAGGTGTCATGGCCATCACATTAAGTTGCACAGGGTTCAGAAAGATTACATGCATCAAATGATTACACCCACCTCTTGGGGTTAATGAGGACTGTTTTTCCACCTCCGCTTGTTGTCTGATGTTCACTGGGATGTTGTTATATATCCGCTTGTAATGATTGTACACTGCTACTACAGAAAGGACCTTCTTTGCAAATGATTGACCCACCACATACTTGTCAAGGTAGTTATAAATCTGCAAGAGAAGTGCTGTACTCAGAGAAAAACAGAATATTGACCATCACGTGTTGGATATTAATCCATTAGGAACCACCACTTAAAACATGCATCAGTCACAAATCTGCTTGCCAGTAAATGCTCTTAAAGCAAACCTATACTCAAAAAAAAAAAAAATACACACACACACACACACACACACACACACACACACACACACACACACACACACACACACAGACACACAGAACACACACACACACACACACACAATAGGTGAACACACACTGCACACACACACACACACCACACACACACACACACACACACACAACACACACACACACACACACACACACACACACACAACACGGGAACACCATACATACACACGACACCACACACACACTATATATAGAGAGTTCAAATAAGTGAATGATCTGCAAGTTTGGCCCCATACATAGCCCAATATTGAGTTGGCCCCGCCCTTTGCAGCTTCTTCTGGGAAGGCCGTCCACAAGGTTTAGGAGGGTGTCTATGGGAAGGTTTGACCATTCTTCCAGAAGCACATTTGTCAGGTCAGGCACTGATGTCGGGGGAGGAGGCCTGGCTCGCAGTCTCCGCTCTAATTCATCCCAAAGGTGTTCTATGGGGTTGAGGTCAGGACTCTGTGCAGGCCAGTCAAGTTCCTCCACCCCAAACTGGCTCCTCCATGTCTTTATGGACCTTGCTTTGTGCACTGGTGCGCAGTCATGTTGGAACAGGAAGGGGCCATCCCCAAACTCTTCCCACAAAGTTGGAAAAAACTTAAAATTGTCCAAAATGTCTTTGTATGCTGACGCCTTAAGAGTTCCTTTCACTGGAACTAGGGGGGCAAGCCCAATCCCTGAAGAGAAAAAAAAAAAAAAGTGCTCCCCCTCCCATGCTAGGACTGTTCTTGTATCCACAGTGTGAGATCCAATGCATATCCAGCTCACACCTTCCTCGGAGGACTGCTAATTTTACAAGATCTGGAGCAAGTTTGAGAGATGTCACCATTGTGCTGTTGACTATTCTTCTGGTGCATATGCTGGAGAGGAAGCTGTAACTGAGGACTTGCAGTGCAAGGATCCCTACTTCTGCTTCATTCAGTGGGGATCTGTACTTTCTCCACCTCTCGTGCTGCCTTTTGATAAATTTTCACCAGTCAACAAGCAAGCAGCTACCAGAAGAAAAGCAAGTCAGGCCAAATACGGCTGAACATTTCACCGGAAGTCTTGTATTTTAGAAATTAATACAAGGCTGTCTGATTGGCTGTGGTGGAGATGTCATCTGCCCTCCTCAGCCAGAGAAAATGTTGTACTCACAGCAAAAAAAAAAAAAAAAAAAAAAAAAAAAAAAAGCTTCCTGTGAATGGCTGAAGAGTGCTTAGCCCAACCAGATCTTGTTTCTGGAGCGGGATGAGAAGTCCACATCCTGCTCCTAGAACACAGCATTGTGTAGCTGAGGCTACATACAGTGCTAACAGGTTGATGCATGTTTGTGAAAGGAAATCCATTTAGACCAGCCTGGTCCACACAAACTAACGTTCACTAACATGGAAGATGGGCTTTAATCCATAAGGCAGCAGATTTTAGTGGTTGAATTTTCTGAAATTCACTCTAAAGCCTTACTCCAGTCTGCTTTAAAAAGAAATCATACTTTGTTGGTCCTGTCCACAGCGGACTAGTTTCTGGTTCAAAGTCTTTGGCATCCTTTCGAATTATCGTATGAAATAAAAAAAAAGGTATGTAAACTGGTCAAAATCGGCTCTACTACATTGCCCTATTTTGGGCCTTTTTACTTAAAATTAGCATCCTACTTATTCCTGTCTGCTAAACAGACCATGGCTCAGGCCTGGAAGAAGAAACCATCAGTCCTACTTCAGGGAGTGAAAGATCGTATGACCGTCTTAAAACGGTAAATGAAAAAAAATGTCCAGAAAAGACTTTTCCAAATTTCCTAAATCTGGGAACCTTGGATCAAATTACTCCCTACCTGCCTTACATCTGGCCAGTCTAGGCCACTTGTAGTGTGATACCAGGATGGCCCCGAGTCTGCTGGGGGGGGGGGGCTTCTCCCCAACCTTTTCTCTTCACTTTGGTTCCTTGCAGTCTTCAGCATGGTTTACACTGGGACTATCTGGCCCCAAAGAACTTTACCAGATTATGAATACCCTACCGTTGGTCCAGACTCCTTAACAATTAATGGAATTTGACTGATTATAGGTTTATTCCTGCTACTGATTAATATTCTGTGTAATGGTGTTGTCCCCCTGAGTGGGCAAACTTAAGCTTGTTCTTTGAAAAGAGAAAAAAAAAAAAAAAAAAAATATGAATTGTGCTAGTGAAAGAAAACCACCACAACGAAAAAACGTACACTAAAATGTAGTATACTGCAAAACGGCAAACACTTGCTATATACTGCTGATGAGAAAAGGTATTAAGCAGTTTATATTTACTAAAATAATTGCATTTCCATGTATTGAGGGAGACAAGATATAGTGAATGCAGGGTCCTGGGTTTAGTAACACTTTAAATTAGGGGCCAACTGAAAAAAACAGAACTTTTCAGTTATAAGGTTCATGAAGGGTAATTAAAAAAATTAAAATAAAAAAAAAAAAAATCTGCCAGCACGTGCTGAAATGTCTGGTTGCCATTTGTAAGCCAAGACATGACAATACCATGTATTAAAGACTTTGTTGTGGTAAAATGTTGCACTGCTAAAAAAAAAAAAAAAAAAAAAACCACACACACACACACACACACACACACCACACACACACACGACAACCTGAATGATGCAAACTTGAGATAAAGATGTCATAACAAGCAAAAGGTTAGGTTTGTTCTATAGCCTATGTGGGAAAATGACATCTGCCTGCCGGTAACCAGCAACAAACATCGAGGAGGAGTGGGAGAGAAGGAAGGGGAAGGGGAGAGAAGGAAGGGGAAGGGGAGAGAAGGAAGGGGAAGGAGGAGAGAAGGAAGGGGAAGAGGAGAGAAGGAAGGGGAAGGGAGAGAAGGAAGAAGGGAAGGGGAGGAGAAAAGGAGAAGAGGAGAGAAGGGAAGAGGGAGAGAGAAGGAAGGGGAAGGGAGAGGGAGAGAGAAGGAGAATGAGGGGAAGAAGGGAAGGGAGAGAGAAGGAAGGGGGAGAGGGGAGAAGAAGGAGAGAAGGAAAGAGGGAGGAGGGAGAAGAGGGAGGAGAGAAGGAGAGTGGAGGAAGAAGGAGAAAAGGGAGAGAAGGACACACAGACTTTAAATATAAAATTAATACAAGTAGCTATTCAGTGTTTTAGACAACCTGTTCTGAATACAACCTGTGATACCCCTCAGTGGGTTGGGGGGGGAAGACAAGCTTCGATTAATTATAACAAACAGGAGCGTTGATATAGCCCATGAGCAACATGGTGGTCCACACGGTGCTTTCAAACTCTCAAGTTTTTTTTTGTTAACTTTGAATATAGTGGGGAAGACAAGTGGCACCTCTGAATGGTTTTAAATGTGGTGTTACAATTAAAGACCAAGTCTAGACAATCACAAGGGACAGTATTTCCATATACATGAGAAAAGTCCTTTGTGTCACCGTTTTAGCCTAAATCCAACGTTCTCTCACCCCCTTCCCCCAATACGCTCACAGTTGCAACATTCCAGATTTGCAGGCAAATCCTTCATTCATATAAGCTCCACTACACCATAAACGAAGGGTTATAATCTATGAATATACGACAGGCAGATGCTTGTAAGGTCCAGACTACAGGTTTCAACTAAAACAGATTAAAAAATAAACATAGAAGTACCCCAAAGAAAGTGGTTTGCCCCTGGGGGCACCACTGCATGCTTTTTCCTGAGCCACTGCTCTATGCTTCCATAAGCCAATGGGGCTCCCCGCTGCTGTCTCAGCCAATGAGGGAGAGTCCCCATACAGAACAGGCTATTGTGAACATCGCTGGATTGGAGGGGGCTCAGATAAGAAATGGGGTGGTACTACTAACTTGCTCCTCCCTCTACACCCAATGTTTCCCCCATTACTACCATGTGCACCCAGTATTGATGTATGAGGCAGTAGAGGGAAGCAACATGCGCAGCAAGTATTCAACACATCTGATTGAATACCTGCAATTAATGAGGAACAGAGAAGCAGCAGCATCTCAAGACATGGGCAGGTAATAGGGTCCCACAAACCCTCCCCCCCCCTTCTCACACACGACAGGCAATACTGACTGAAGACCGTCATACCCTTCTTTGGGGGTGGAGGTGGCTTCTGTTGAAATGCTAGTTTCACAGCTTCAGCAGCAGTCTCTGGTTCTCGGTTTATAGATTTCTTTGAATCCGCCTCAGATAACACGACGAAAAAATGGTGGCACTTCTCACACTTCACAAAACGGGTAGAGGCTGCAAGGAACAGATTGGGAAAAAAGTCATGGCAGTAGACTTTTCTTGTAGAAAGAAGAAAAAAAAAAAAACAAAAAAAAAACTTTGGAATGTGCAACCCAGATGAACGGAATACAAAATTAAATGCTAGGGCTGCCTGGTTTATTCAGTAAAGCCGAGTATTCAATACATTGCAGCTTGCAGGCACCTACATTCGTTTCCCATTTTCAGGTTCATTTTCATTTATTTATTTCTTACCTAGTGACCCTGCCAATAAACAGTCCTGTCCTAGGGTGACAATGCTCACATATTGTACTACAAAAAAAAAAAAAAAAAAAAATAACCCCACACCACAACAGAGGGTGCACCAGCCTAGCGCATTATCCCAATGTAACATTTATTGTAAAAATAAATAAGTAAAACTGGGCAGCACAGTGGCTAAATGGTTAGCACTTCTGCTTGGCAGTTCTAGGGTTCGTTGGTTCGAATCCCAGCCACGGCAACACCTGCCTGGAGTTTGCATGTCCTCCCTGTGCCTGCCTGCGTGGGTTTCCTCCGGGTACTCTCATTTCCTCCCACACACTAGGTTAATTGGATCCTGTGTAAATATGTAAATTGTCCCTAGTATGTGTAATGTATGAATGTGAGTTAGGGACCTTAGATTGTACGCCCCTTGAGGGTTAGGGACTGATGTGAATGTACAATATGAATGTAAAGCGCGGCGTAAATTGATGGCACTATACAAAAGTACCTGTAATAATAATCTACTCACATCAAAATATCAGTTAGTCAGTCCACTCCAGGAGCTCCTGGGCTTAGGAGGACACCAGCAAAAACAGGAGGAAGAGGGCAAGTCCTCGAAACGCGTCAGTCTTTTGGATGTCTAAACTCCCTATTACGGACTGTTACTCAGTGCGGTGTTGACCCAGCTGTTCTTTATGATGTGCCTTGACTATACTGTCGTTTGTGAATACAACACCTACTTTATTTTTTATTAAACATTTTTTATGGTAATGCACTAGGCCTGTGCGCCCTCTCTTTGTTCTTTCCCCACTTAGGAGGACACCACCTGGCTCCCAAGTTTTGATGGTAGCACCCTCCTCTTCAGAGCTAAAACTATTCAGATCCTTACTACTTAGCAGTTTTATATGCAACTAAAACACAGCATGAGAATCCTTCACCCCTGCCATCCCTTGGAACCCGCCTCCCCCCAACATCACTAGCAAACAGTAAGACAGAAGAGACAGGATGGCAGAGGGTGGGTCTGAGCCGGATACATAAAAGAACAGTTTGTGGGGTACCCAATAGCTCAACAGGGGAGCACAGCTGGTGTTCTGGAACTTAAAAGGCGCCTGCTCATTGCGAGGACTGCCAGCAAGCGATTTCCTTGGGGGGGGAAGCCATGGACATTTCAGTAGATCAAAAGGAACCAGCAAAAAAAAAAAAAAAAAAAAACCACACACACTACACAAACTGTATTGTTGACCATACTGTAGCTGACAATTCTAGTCAATAATATGCATCAGATGAAACACAAAGCCACATACCACACAGATTGCATACCATCCCAGCTCCTCAAATGCCTTAAATCAAGGGTGTCAAACTGGCGTTATTCCAGCTGTTGCCAAACTACAAGTCCCATCATGCCTCTACCTTTGGGAGTCATGCTTGTAACTGTCAATCTTACAATGCCTCATGGGACATGTAGTTTGGCAACAGCTGGAGGACCGCCAGTTTGACACCCGTGCCTTAAAATAGTTGCTGGGAGTCCACATACCAACTGTTTATGGGCATTCTCTACTGGAGAATTAAAACGAAGATACCCAGATTTTTTTTTTTTTTTTTTAGGTTGTCTTCAAACAATAGTGCCCCCCAACCACAGCATAAAACACACAATATATGCAAACATCACGGAAGTGGACATTCTTCTGGTGGTGGTGTGTGGGTGTGTAAACTTGCAATTGGGCACTTTCCAATCATGTGATTGTTGTGACAGCCAACAACAGCTGTCACATGACTAGAATGCTTACTTTCTGGCATTTAGAAACTCCTAAAGGGCCAGGAAGGGCGGCGGGTGGAAAGGGTTAAAAAATAATTTCTACATTAAAGGCTTATTCTAGGTTAGTGTATTTTAGTTAAAGTTCTATATTTGGGAAGCAGCAAAAAAAAAAAAAAAAAAAAAAAAAACCCCCCCCCCCCTACAGGCACACTATGGTTTCTTGGTCCTACTATAGGTAAGAAAAACACGCATGTTATCCTCATTTTTTTTTTTTGTTTTTGTTTTGGTGGTGGGTCAAGAATTATCCAGCTAAAACTTAAAGGATAAGTTCACCTTTGGCACATGTTAGATGTTTCAGCCGTTTTAAGGGTGGAACATGTTCCAGGTCCTGCCACTGCCCCCCGCCCCTTTGCCCCCCCCCCAGTGCCAGCAGATACCCTCCCCCACCTGCTGTCATTTGAAAACACAGCTGGGCGGGGCTCGGACCACAACATTAATTCACAGTTCTGTGAATGAAGGCCTACAAGTACTCTTCGTTCTCAATGAACTACCAGGTGCAGGTGAGCACTCTTGTAGTCCAATGATCTTCCTGCTCTCAAGTAACTGCCTACCCATACAAGATACAGGCAGACAGTTATGCTGAGCATCTGCAGGAGTCTGAGACTGCACACACGATCTGCTAATAGCGGATGCAATGCTCTGCAGCTTTCTTAGATTACAAAAAAAAAAAAAGTGCACTGTGTTTTTCTGTTGGTAGCCTTATTGCTCTGCCTACCTTGCTCATGTACTTGTTTTACATGACTGTACCTTTTTGGAATGATTAGAGATATGCCTTTTTTCTGTTGTATGTTATACTTTTAGGCTGTTTTTTGCAGCCTATTTCTTAATAAAAAAAAAGTTTTTGAAAGTAAAAAAAAGTTCACTTTTTGTGTTTACAAAGATCTGAACTTATTTTTTTTTTTTTTTTTCAAAAGCTGAACTTATCCTTTAAAAAAAATATTGTTTTACTATTTGGGGCCAATTTTACTTCAGTTGATAAAAACTAAAAAAAAAATAAATTAAAAAAAAAAAAAAAAAAAAAAAAAAAAAACACAAGAACACCGAGTGTGATTTTGCATACTTTTAAAAAGGGTGCTGTGACTGAAAATAGGTTGAGAGAAGCTTGTCCAGCATACCAAACAGGAGTAAGCTTGGATAATCACAAGTTATGTATGTGGCTGCAGGCCAGAAATGAACCCGTTTGAACTTACAGACAAAGGTCTCGACATGGGTGCACAGATCTCCGCACTTCGGGCACCTCAGCTGATTTCCACCTTTCCCTGAACCCCCAGAGGATTTTTTGCCACCTCCTTCACCGGCTGCTTTCTGTGCATAAAAACAGAAATGTGCATAAGTAGCATAAACAAAAAAAAATGGATTGCCTCCACTTTTATCCCGACTTCTGGCTGCCATTACCTTGTTCCCTTCACCAGATCCATCTTTGGTGACATTATCTTTGGATGCAAAATACACAGCCGTTTCAGAGAACCTTCTGAAGTGTGTCTTTTGTAGCTTATCAACTTCAAACGATCCTGGTCTTCTGAAAATGGACAGATGCCCGCGACCGCACACTACGCCTGTTATGGAAAGAAAAATAAAAAACACGACCTTCAT